ACAAAATTTCTGCCAAAATATTGGCGAATTGTAGCCCTTATTTTACTGCCTTACAATATATCAATAATCTTGAAACTAAAGGGCCATATAAAAGGAAGGTTAATCTCAAGAATCTTATTTTTTTTAAAAAATCTATCGAGTGGTTTAAAAATTATTCGCTAATTTGTTAAAGTAGACCAAAATGTTCAAAAACCGCTAACAAAAGCGCCTCGATACATACTAATCAAATCCTTCTCTCTAGCAATCGGCTGGAGCTATCTCCACGGTCTTTCACACACTTTTTTAAAAAGATTGAAACTACTCTCAGGTGAAATTGCATGTCAAAAGCGCTTCATTTTCTACAGATAACAGCCGAAAATCAAGATTATCCATTTTTTACCGTATTTCTAACCACAAAATCTTGATGCCAAAATATCTCGATAACGCTCTTACAGATTTCGCTTAAACTTCAAGAACATCGAGGCGGCTATTGGAGGAAAAAGCTCCCGTGAATAATTTTGGAAGAACAGTTCTCAGTGCCGAGAAATACTTCTGTAAGTAAAATAGGTAATAGCGTCATTTCGTTGCTATAACAACTCCGATGTCATTGCAACCCTGATCATAAAAGATTTTCATCTTTATCTAATACAACTGTGGGGGCAATTTTTCCAAAACTTTGTTTATGGCGACGTAGTTTATGCTCAAACTTGGGAGGTATTGGCCTTGAAAAACTGTATCGAGCCACCTTAAACTTTTCGGGCCCGAAATAAAATATTCAAATCGAAATATAAAGAATAAGAGCGAGTGTCCTGGCTAGCAAACTACTCCATTTTGTTTCATTAACTGATAGTTTTATCATGTAAGATGCAAAACTATTGAAACCTCTATCTGGCATGTAAACCAGAACAGCTTTACTGGCCCTTTAATTATCGGGACTTTCGAGAAACGGGCCCCAGGGCCGTAAAGAGCACAGACGTGAGAGAGTTTGTATCAGGCCCAATTTTAGCGGTAGCCATTAGAGAGAATGTATGAGAATCGCTCAAATTGGGCCTGATCTCAGGTTAACTACGAGTAGCCCCCAGAGCGAGCGAAACGCGGGCGCGAGTGAAAATCACCCCTCGCGAGAAAGGCGCGTTAAAAACGGCTATGTAGGATAATACATCACCCCCTGCTCCCGCCGCACACGTTACGCGAAGACGACTGGGGACGAGTCAGTTCCAGAGTTATTAGTGATTTGATCGAACTTAACAACAAGATCATCAACTCTCAATCTCTCTCCTCTTTTAAGAAAAAACAGAATATTAAAATTATTGAGTAAGTATGAAAACAGTTCATAAGTCTTTCCATCTTCGACTTTTCGCCTTCTTTTCTTCAATGATGTGAAACAGCTCTAGCTCATAGTTCGAGAAGGCCTAACCTCTCATAAGCTCCTATAGTTTCTGTTAGATCTCCTTGCCACTTCTTTTTTTCTTCTTTTCCTATATTTTTTGTAATTATTGTGTGGCAAATAAAATAAAATAAA